CGTGTACCTATTTTTATAAATGAAAATATTTTAAACATTCTTCCCAACTTGGATTCCCAGGAGATCCTGGGGAGGCCACTCCTCCAGTGGAGTTCACAGCCACTTGGAAGGAGGAGTTGGCATACTCAAGTGAGGGAAGGTTTGCGTGTTTCCTTTACCCTCTTTAATCCCTGATACATGAGCAGTTGTCTGGATAGAGTGAGAGAGAAAAAAGTCCAGGTAATCAACGTACTGCTCTGTTCACTAAGGTTTTACTATATTACAAAGCCCTGAGCAACAACTGGTTTCAAAGATGGCAGCATTAGCCTTTCCACCATGGCAGAAGAAGAACCAAGCAGGGAGGGGCTTCACTTTGTGGGTTGGGGGCAGGAACAAGGCCTTCTCCCTTCTTGTTGACAAAGGAAATGTTTTCTAACCATAGGTACCAGTAAAGCTTTTTGTGTGACCAAATTTAAGCTCTATTTCAGATCTTCTAGCCCTTTCCAAAGACTCTTAAAGCAATTCTAGTTTTAAAATACATTATGTAAGCCTCATTGATGCTGAGTACATTAACCATAAAATAAAGATTTCAGAGTTTTGAAGAGATGTAATTTAATGAAGCTAAGGGCTTCACAACTGAAGATAATTCTGGCAAGGCTGAGCTGGATAAAATGGCATTGCCTCTAATATTTTTCTCTTTACCTTTTTCAATCTGTAATTTTGACCTGTTAACCTTGGATTTGACCAAAGAGCTAAAAAGGTTCAAGACCAACAGACCAGCCTTTAACACCTGAAAAATCCTGTTCCCATAAGCATATCCCAGAAATCACAAGCAAATGTTAGCCTCCTCTTTGTAAGGCAAACTGCTGAGGCAGAAACCAAAATACCACAAGAGTGCGGGCAGCTAAGGCCTCATCGAGGCAGGATGTGAAATGTCAGGCCATTAGTCTTATATTTTACTGCAGCGGTTACAGGATGGGGTTGATGTGGGAATGAAAACCAATACTGACTTTGGAGAATTCCTTTTTTTTTTTCAGCCTTAAATATTGACACCCACTCACCAGGTTTGGGAACTAGCAAAAGCTGCATGGGATTTCTAGGGTGAGCATTCACTTCCCCTGGCCTCCATTCCTTGGCTGTCGACAAAGGCAGAAAATGACAAGGCAGTGCCAACTGGCACATGCCAGTGGCAGAGACCTGTTTCTTATTTCATCTGACTACGGTGCAAAACTATAATCACAACCACCGAGGTGGAAAGCTCTGAGTTCCTCCAATAAGCAATACAACCACGAAATCAGGAAGACAGAAAAACGTAGGTACGTATATTCTAATGCGAGACAGAAAACAGAGGTACGTACGTATGTTCTAATGATAAACATGGTTAAAATATAGCATTAGATAGATATTTGTATTTTCAGTGTACTTCTGAGTCCAAGCATACAAATGGGTCTCTACATTTTTCTATATGAAAATTCTGGTTTCAACCTATATTCTTCATATAGGTTAATTTACTCAAAAACTTACACCCCTGAATTCCACTAACTAAGGCAGTTAAAGCCAAAAGGATGAAGGTATTGCCCTAATAAGAAATTTAACCCAAATATCCTCTAATAAACATTTAAGAACTCAAATATGCTTTTACAGCTGCGAGAGACACTTGAAAGTTTCTGTGGCTCCCTCTATCCCAATTCCTCCCCACAAACAAACTGAGTAACATTAGAATAAGCACTACCACAGAAGGGGTGGATCTATAAACAGAACGCTGGCCCAGAGCCACTACATTCATCAATGATACCATTCCAGCAAGTCTTCACATTTGCAGCCTCATTCCAGTCAAAACCTCAGGCAGACTCCTAGGAACTGTGGGAGGCAGGGAATCAAGTTGCAAACTTCAAATACAATTGCTCCAAGATCACGGCCCTTGAGCTCCAGGTTCTGTTCTCTTCCTGGAATTCTTGGGCAATCTTCCTTTTACTCGTTTACTCTTTTCCTCCTGCTAAGGAGCAAAACTGACTGTTGGAAGGGCATCATCTCAGGTAGCCAAGAACCTCCTCCTTCTTATTTGCCTAACATAAGTATGCACATCCCACCAGTGAGACTGAGTCTTGGAGGAGAAAAGTGAAATCACACACACACTTGGTTATACTCAAACTATAAGTTTTTATTATATTTTACATATCATTCATCCAGGACATAATGAATCTCATTTGTGAAATAATAAATGCACATAAAGGTCCCCTGCCCCATGCTGGGCCCACGTGCATCTGGCAGAGAGGAGCTCTAAGTGAACCTGACGTGAGCCTGCTCAGGCCCAGCAGTGCCGTCCTCATTGCTGAGCTGCCACACACTGGCTGGAGCCAGATGGGTCGAGCCTGACATTTAGCTTGGAATTTAAGATTCTAATTTTATACTTCTGATTATAGTTTGATTGTTTTACAATCTACTTTAAAATCAAAAGGTGGCCTACTCACTCTACTATGATCATTTTGAGTGTGGGATTTGTTATTCACAATGCTGTACGTCAAATCAAACAGAAAAAGCAGGCTTCAAAATCACAGCTCAGGAAAAACTGGAAAAGTGCTCCACTTCTCCATCCTGCTCAGTGTTCCCCATAACTGGTTCCAGCCCAGAAAACAAGAGCTTCCCCTCTCAGACAGGTGCAAAGGCAGAAGAAAGAGCTTTGGTCTTAAACTGGAGGCTAGGGCTGAACTCTCCCTCTTTGATCTTGCTGTATGTGTGGCTCACACCTTCCTTCCTGAGTGGGGGATACCACTGGCACTGAACAGTTAAAAGGCTCACCAAAATCTATGCTTCAAGAAAGAGTTAAAAACAATACAACAAAACAAACAAAAGATATTGAAGGGATTCAACTAAAGCCTACTGCCTATTCTGCTAATGTCAAAACCTTCCATACTTTGGTAAACTTCCCAACATCTGTTCCAGCACAAACACTGTGACAAACCTCCCTTGCCCAGAAATCATGACCCTAGATTAACAAAGGTGGATAAGAAACAAATTCTAAAGCTACAGGAATATAACAGAGTTTGTGAAGCAAATTAAATGATAATGTGAACCTCACCTGCATGCAGATCAAACAGAGTGGGGAAAACTGGAGGCAGAGTTGGAAAGAGAAATCCTCAGGACGCATGAATTTGATCAAGGGCACAGCTCATAAAAATATCAACAATTTGGAATTCTCCTACAGGAAGTTTGGGAAACATGCCAACAGCAAGAAATGAGATGACTTCATGACTCACGACAATGAGTTTGACCTGTTGGCACTGAACCAATGTCCTCAAAAGAAAAGGTCCTTGCTTTCTCTGGGACCACAGGAGCTAGGAGAAGATATTACCCAACACACAGGCAGAGGTAAGGTGGAAATCAGCACAGAGCAGCTGAAAAGATTCAAGAGCTAGGAATTCAGCTCAGAGAATTCAGAAGAGAGGTCTTGACATTTTAAACCAGCCTAAGCTGAGTTGTGAAATGTTTAAAATTTGGACCCCAGGATCTCTCACACTACAGCAAAACCAGATGTATTCTTCAAAAGCTCTATCCATACATATGCTGTAATGTGGGGTACAGAGGAGTCCTTCAGAAGCAGCAGAGAGCTGAGGTGACGCAAGTGATGCCAGAGGCAAATTTTAGATGTTTGCAGCACAGTGTTAAGTGCCTATGGTAACCAGCCAGGAGGGTCACCTTACTGAAGATACACAGCTATTGACTTAGACTCAACCAAGGGTGTGTCTGGAAAAGGTCGTTCACTTTTACCCAGTGGGCATCTCGGGGAGAGACGCATTTATCCGTGAGGGAGGAAGATGATAACCCTGTAGAACCTGCCAGATTGAGCCTATGATACACAAGGTTTTCTACAGCCAGATCACCCTCAAAACGAACTTGGGGAAGCGGATAACGAGCAAATTCTAAGAATTCATATATCGATGTCCTTCCAAATAAAAAATATTATTCTATTTTTAAATCACAAAACTCCAGGCTGAATATCATTAGACATACACACACACAAAATTACTAATTTCTGGAGTCGTCTCTCATACTCTGTCTCAAAACTTGGCCAAGTTCTGCCTCAGGGAATTTTCCAGTTTAACCCCATGCACCAACTTGGGATAAATAGAAACACTGAAGTCTTGGTTTTATCCACAGTCCCAAAGTGCTATTATAGATAGAATCTTTGAGGAGATCATTTTTGCTGGGTTAGAATAGATTTAAGAATAAGAATGCTGCATGTACGGCTCTGGGTGTGGTTAAAATGTGAATCTGTATGCCTCCTGCCCTGCAGGCTTTGTTCTCTTTCCCTTTCATTGTTTTGTTTTGTCTCTTTTTACAGGGGTTGCCTTACACACTGCAATAAAAATATATCTTCTATTCAGAATCACACTGGAGAGCAGGTGGTTTGAATGAGCAGTACTGTTACATATTAAGTTTCTGAGTCTACAATTGATAAATCCGAACTCTGGGTTCACAATTCAAAATAAATATTATTTCAAGGTAAACAAACAAATTACTTGGCTGGCTAGTAAAATGCTTCTTTCTCTCTAAAGTCATACTTACAACACAGACTTTTGCTTTCTGCTGTATTCCAAGACAAAAGTTGGGTAAGCTACATCTTCAAAATGATTTACAGAGCATCCTTTCCTATTTGTCCCCTCAGTGCTGAGAAAGGACTCCAGAGCCTGGAAGTTGTAATTTATGTGGCCTGGGTTACTTGGTGCTCAGTTAAAAACTGCCACAAGGCCCAACCCTGATTAACACCAACTATTTCTTCAAGCATGATGGTACCTAGCTGGAGGCCCTCACTCAGAGAAAGGATGAATGTAGACGCTAGGAAAAGCTGTGAGTTGAGGGCAACTCCACTAACAGACTCAGATGACACAATGGAACGTGAATACTGAAGCCAGCAATCTTCTGAAAATATCACTATATCTTCAAAACCCATATTTTTTTTTTTCTAATCAGGAAATTGGGAGTGTGGGGAACATTCGCATATATTGCTCACCAATACATTCTTCTTAACAGAAGTGAGGCTATTTTAAGAATATGAAAAGCTTTTCAAGGCATCTGTTTTCAGGGACAGACCACAGCAACAGAAATACTTTTCAGAGGTGGCTTGTTCTAAAGTCTATCCCAAGAATAAGGGCAGCCAACTTTCATGAGGTACAAAGACATGTTCAGGCAAAAATATTTTCACTTTCCTAAAGTTATATGCTGTCTTCAAGTCCAACTATATTATATATAACTGATCCTTTTCTGTCAGCAAACAGAAGAACAATTTTCTTTAAAACTCCAAAGTTGGTAATTGTGTAGAACTGAATGTAGAATTTTGGTTGGTTGTTTTTTATAACTCAGAACATAGATGAAATCAAAACATCTGCAACTGTCCCTAAATTCATATCCTTAAAAGGTCCTTTTCTCCATTCACATGAATTCATCTGAATCATTGCCGTCCTGTGGGAAACAAAAAAGTGAAACCATAAAACCCTTCAAAACAATTAACTCAATTTTAAAAATTTACAATTAGTCTTAAGTAACAAGCCTCCTTATGCTTGTAGAGTTCAGAAAGTAAAAAGTAAAATAATTAAATTCACTCATCACTTCTCTATCTTAAACTGTAAGTTGTTTAGAATAACTGGATTAGTAGTCATAATCTCCAAGGTGTCATGACATGGCCTGGATTACACAGCTATGAGTGACCAGTGCTTTCCAAATTATGAAATAAGGCCCAATTGACCTAGTATAGACTGTAACAAGTGTAACTACAAGAAAATGTGATTGCTCCTTCAACAAATATATCATAATATAAAACCAAACAAATATACTGCCTCAGTATCCTTATGCCAACCATGCTACCAATATACAAAAATATTTTTGGCCTAAATTCTATTATTTTGAGCCTCAAGGTTGTTACATAGTTGTGACATCACAAGATGGCTCTGATTTTTTTTTTCTAACTAGGAAAAGTCGTTAGGAAGCCATAGGCTAGTTACCGAGTTAGTTGGCTTGCCAAATTTTTGATTAAAAAACCTTACATAATGGTATACAGTATAAAGGGACTGATTTTATGGTGTGGCTTATAAACAAGTCCTGAAGACCAAGTACCAAAGTAGAGTCCCAGGCTCCTTTTTGAGCTACTGCACACCCTAAGAAAACTGCTCTGACTACCAACATTCACTAATAGCGTAAGTTCTGGTACATTTGCTTGAAAATGTCACAACTTGAACATGTTACTTGTTTCAGCTTCTATCTCTTTCCCATTGCTTGATACCCAAGTGGTTAGAGAATGGGAGAGGACTTGGGCTGAGAGGTATATATGCTTTTCTCCTTCTTAATAGCTCTTTATGGGTAGGGAAATATGAGATAAGGTAGAAAACAATGGTTTCTGCGAAGTTTGGTTTTATCTCCTTTCATTCAGTAGTTTTCTCTGTGCTTCTCTTCAATTAGCACAATGAACTGAGGCCACAGTAAAATTGCCTTAGATAATTGTACAAAGAGCAAACCAATGTTTGTATTCTATGCGAGCACCAGAACTGTGACTGCCTTAGAGTCCTAAACTGAAATACTAGCATTAGAGATGTTGAAGGAGTCACCATATATCCTTGAAGGTCAGCTTTAGGTTCCAGATACTGAGGATGAAACACTCACTAAGATAATTTGGGCTGATGACAATGAAAGTGCATTACTCCCTATAAAAGCTGTGAGGTAGATCTGCAAAGAATTCTGTGTGTCTGGGGATCTGTATTTTGGGATTACAGGAACTTTTAAATATATATCTGAGATTCAAGATTTTATTTGGACAATTTTTATATTTTACATACCCTTTAAGAGTCAACATGTTTTCCAACATAGCAAAATAGGTTTCTTGTCACCCACTTAAAAAGTGATAAGCAAATAAAATGTTAAAAGTAATTGTTTATAATTCCTGATACCAAATTTAGTAAGATTAGAAATTATAGATTGAAGAGAATTATTCCAAATAGGGGAGCAAAAACTCAAAATTAAACCAACTTCAGAGTGGAAGATTAATATTTTTCCTGATGAACCTGCATAAGCTAAATTAAAAATCAAGTCCTATCTTATATAAACACCAGCCTTTAACTGAAAATCAACTGATCACGCTGCCTAGTTGGATCATAAAAGGTCTGTATCCCCTTAAGAGAAGATGGTTATAAGAATTAAAGCCTATTCCTTTGAAGTACGGGGAAAAGCTGTAAGAGTCCTTCCACTGCAAGAGAGAAGAAAAACAACCAGCGCAAAACTTCCTTGGAAACCTGAACCTGATTCAAACCTGGAGCTCAGGAATAGGGGTAGCAAGCAATAGATGGAGAGGAAAAGCAGAGGGTTAGTAATCCTTTGGTCTACAAATCTGATTTCTTAACCCTGGAACTTCTAACATCTGTCACTAATCAGATGGTGTTTGTATATTCATTATATGTGTGTAAGTATGCACTTATTTCTTAATTCCAGAACATCCAAACTTTAAAAATCCACAATGATGGGAATGAAAATGCCTAAGGTCATAATAACATAATATAGGTGCCAGATTTCTGCCGGTAAGTAGCCTCTAAATAACAGAAAACTTCAATAAGCAACAACAAAGACGTTAGATTTGGGGTACGTTAAACCCTTCTGTTTAACTGTTCAACTGTTTTAAGAGTTTCAAGAAATCTAAGAATAATTTCCAGAAGGTATTAAATACATCTCCTCTTTTAATACTGATCCTTTGTGGGAAAATAGCAACTAAGGATTATATGGATAAGAAATAATAATGACCATTTATATTCATAGAGTGACTAAGTCGAGGAAGAACTTTTACATATATGATCTTGTTTAAATTTTAGAACAGCCCCATGAAGTAATATGTCTCCCTTTTACTGCTAATGCATACTCACTTAGAGAAGTTAAATAACTTTATTAGACTTATCCAATTAGTACCTGATAGTTTAAGTCTCTAAACTTCAAATTCAAGGCTCTATTTAATTACATAATGCTGTTCTGGAATTTTCCAGGAATAAATTATAAAGATACATCTCTGACTCATAAAGAAGCCTCATGAATTTAGTTCTTCAGAGAGCCAGGAATAAGGATATTGTTCTTATTCATTTTTAGAAGTAAATATAGATATGAACGAGATGTGAAATCCTACTAACAATTCCAATTCATGCACTAAATACGGGGTTTAACTAGATGACCTGTAAGGGACCTTAAACTCTTTAATTATTTCCAAGCATCTAAAGCAATGCTGTTTAACAGTATTTTCTGTGATGATGGAAGTGCTCTATTTCTGCACTAATATGGTAGCCACTAGCCACATGTGGCTAGTAGGACTGAAGAACTGAATTTTTAAATGTTAGTTAATTTAAACTTAAATAGCCACATACACTGAGTGCCTAGTGCACTGGACAACACAGAACTCAAGCATATATTTGTAAACCATACTATAATACATGTAATACAGCAAATATGTCCACCTAGTTTCAATTTTCTGCAAAGACTGTTTAACAGTTTAATATTAGTTAAATTGTACTATCTCCAGACAATTAAAAATAAATTTTGCGAAAGACAGTACTCACAGACAGCAAGTCCCTGACATAGTTCCAATAAAATAATTAGGTGCTGATGCTAAGAAGACCCTTTCAGTACTATAATATGAATCACCACTGAGGAACACGAAAACCAATGTTGTCACTTAGTCAATTACTTTTTAATTGAAGGTGATAATTTTATTCTCACTCAATTACAATATAGAATCTACAGTCACATTAATGTAGAACATTAATAAATAAAGGCACTTTTGCACGCCTGCAACTAGAAAAAAGGAAAGTGAGGAATGGGGAAGTCCTGTAAGTACTAAGAGACCTGCACTTCAACAACAGACAAGGTACGACAATCTCTCTCCACGAAGTGACCTACTTGAAACCACACACATGAGGAAGTCCACAGGGAAGGAGAGGCAATGCCTAATAGCATCTACCTGAGTGCACAGAGTAGCCAAATCATGGCAAGCCACGTGTAATGTGAATCAACATTGGCCAGTAACTCAATTATTAAAAACTCTTAGTGAATTATTTCAAGGCACAACATTAGAGCAAATAACTTGAACATACCTGATTTGAAGACATATTCTCAACTTTCATTAGTGATGAATAGCTCCTAGAGAAAAAAACACATTCAAAATAAGGTTATCCAGCTGGCAAGTATTTCATCTGCCTATCTAGCACTGCTGAGGGTCTCTCAAAGAAAATATAATCCTTGCCCTCCTCTTGGAAATTACAACATAAAAGGGACAAATATCTATGAACAATAAATAAGACGTGCACAGTACTTTATAATTTACAAAGTGCTTGCTCATACTCATTTCATGTCACCTCCACAACTGTGAGGTAGGTGCATTATTCAGATGAGGAAATTCATCTATAGCCAAGAGCAGATGACGCATCTACTGCCCAGACTGTAGGTGTTACAGGAATTCAAAAGAGGAAACACATCAGTGCTGGCAGGGTTGGAGCACTCTTCTCAGACGAGGTGGAACCCAAACCCAGCCTAACAAGTGGGGAGGATGAGTGAGGGGGTCAGATCCAGAGAATGGTATGAGCAAAGGCAAAGAGATGGCATTTATAATGACATTTCAAACCAACTCAATCAAACTGACTCAAGTGCAGTCTTCTGAAAGCAAAGGAGTGGGAAATCAGGTTGGATGTGTGGGGCCTAATTATGTTGTCCTAATTGCGTGAGTTAACATGATGTGATCAGAAAGAAGCCACAATATAAGATGGAGATGAGATATATGAGATTTGACAAGTATTTATTAAATATCCACAATGTATAAGACCCTGTGCTAAGTCTGGATGGAGGATGGGATGTGAAGAAAACAGAAAATGATGAATAAGACAGTCTACCCCCCCAAAGAGCTTACCAGCAGGGAAAATAAGACCTATTCAGCAATAGCTACAAGAAAAGTTCTATTAAAAATACACAAAGAGACAAAGGGAAATGAGAGCATATAATACCAGTGTTTTAAAGAGCACTCTGTAGCAGACAGAAGAAAGAGAGAAGGAAAATCAAGGGAAGGAGATCAGTTAATAACAGTAATTACCATGTACCAAGTATTCTTTATTTGCTAGGACCTGTGTTATGTGCTTCATAAATTACTGCTAAACCCCACAACCACCTTGTAAGGCAGGGGACAGTATTATGCCCACTGTGCCCACAGGAGGCAGAGTCCGGGAAGTTAAGGAAGCTGTCTATGGTCTTACAGCTAATGAGTGAAGAAGCCAAGTCTGCCTCCTAACTCACACTCTTGCCATCATGCTCCAGTCTACTACCATATCCCAACCCGAGGGCATGAATCCACTATGTTAACAGCTGTGCTGGTAGTGAGAAGGGATAAATCTGAGAGGAATCAATGATGACATCCAGGTTTCCACCCTGGGTGATCTGAAAAAAATAATGCTACAACTGAGAGAAATGGGAAAGTGTTGCACAGATGTGCTTGGTTTGGGACATGCTGCTTTTGAAGTAATGGCGGGACATCCAAGTAAATACGAACCGAAGAAACTGAAAATTAGGGACCAGAGGGAAGAATTGTCACAGTGCAGACAACACGCTGGGAAACATCCACAGAGAGATATCAGTTGAAGCTTGTAAGAGTAAGTGGTATCTATAACAAATAAACAGATAAGATCAATAAGCTGCATGAGCAGAAAGACGTGTTGATTAAAAAGTGGTTAGAGGAGGAATGATGTCAGCATCATGGTGGAGTGAGCTCTCCCCTTAGACTCTTCCCCCTAAGAAACAACAAAAAGGACATTCATATGCCAACAGAGGACATTCATACAACACAAAAGACATCTGAGAGACCCACGTAGCCACACATCTGAAGGTGGAGGTGCTGAACACCCCAGGGGAACTGGAAGGAGGAAAGGAGATCTTCTCTCCCTCCCCAATGGCAGTGACTCTGGGCTCTGAGAGAAGTGGGGGGAGGGGTGGCCCTCAGCAGGAACACCTTCACTCTCCAAGTTCCCTCACAGCCCATGGCAAAGCCCCACACAGAAGTGACTGAGCTATTGTGGGGGTGTCTTCATCAAGCCAGCACCCCAGGAGAGTAGATAGTGAGGGCAGAGCGAGAACATCCCCAGGATCGCGCAGGAGAAAGCAAGGGCCCCTTCCCCCGCCTGGCACTCCAGCTCAACCTGTTGGCCAGAGTGCCCGGGCAGATGATAGAAAAGCAGCAGCTGTGGGCCAGAAAGCCAGAGATTGCCATGGGCTCAGAATACACAGCTCTTGAGCCCCACCCAGTGGCGGCAGGTGGAAGCTGCGACCAGATACTATCACTATGCAGAGGCACAAATCCATGCTGTCAAACAGTATGAAAAAACATATTAAATCTCCAGACCAGAAGGAAAATGACAAGCATTCAGAAATCAATCCTGAAAGCACAGAAATCTTTTAATCTAAATGACAGAGAATTCAAAATAGCTATCATAAAAAAATTCAATGAGTTTCAAAAAAATACAGATAGACAGTTTAATGAAATCAGGAACTTCTTCACAAAAGAGATTGAAACTATAAAGAAAAACAATCAGAAATGTTGGAGATGAAAAACACAATGGATGAGATAAAGAAAAATCTGGACTCCCTGAAGAACAGAGCTGATATTATGGAGGAGAAATCAGCAGTCTGGAGGACAGAAATATAGAAATGCTTCAGATGGAGGAGGAGAGAGAACTAAGGCTAAAAAGAAATTCTCCAAGGAATATCTGACTCAATTAGGAAATGCAACATAAGGATTATAGGTATTCCATAGGGAGAAGAGAAGGAGAATGGAGCAGAAAGCTTGTTCAAAGAAAAAAATAGTTGAGAACTTCCCAAACCTGGGGAAGGAGCTGGAAATACAAGTCAAAGAAGCCAACAGAACTCCTAACTATATCAATGTAAAAAGACCTTCTCCAAGGCATACAGTAGTAAAGCTGGCAAAAGTCAATGACCAAGAAAAAATATTAAAGGCTGCAAGGTAGAAGAAAATAACTTACAAAGGAACCCCTATCAGGCTTTCAGTGGATTTCTCAGCAGAAACCTTAAAGGCTAGGAGAGAGTGGAATGATATATTCAAAATCATGAAAGACAGAAACTTTCAGCCGAGAATACTCTATTCAGTGAAAATATCCTTCAAATATGATGGAGAAATAAAAACTTCCCCAGATAAACAAAAGCTAAGGGAGTTCATCACCACAAGATCCCCCCTACAAGAAATGCTCTAGAAGGCCCTCATACCTGAAAAAAAAAAGAAAGGGGTTGCAAAGACTTCAGCAAGGAAATAAACAGGTAGAAAAAAATCAGAAAATCGCAGCTCTCTATCAGAACAAGTTAGCAAACACTTAATTATAACATTATAGATAAAGGGAAGGAAAACACCAAAAATAAATACAGCCTCATCATTTTAACCACAAACTCATAACACAAACTGGAATAAGTTGTGACAATAATAACTTAGAAGAGGAAGAGGAAAGGGATGGGATTGGCTTAGTCTAAGGAAATAAGAGGCCATCAGAAAATGGACTATCTCATCTATAAGATTTTTTATACAAACCTCATGGTAACCACTAAACAAATAATCAGAACAGAGACACAAATGGTAAATGAAGAGAAAACTAAGAAAACCATCATAGAGAACTACCAAACTGAATAGGTAGTCTGAAATACACGGGACGAGAAATAAAGGAAATGCAGAAGAACCAGAAAATGAGGGATAAAATGGCAGCATTAAGCCCTCATATATCAATAATCACTCTAAATGTAAATGGACTGAATTCTCTAATCAAAAGACACAGATTGGCGAGATGGATTAAAAAACAAGACCCAACAATATGCTGCCTTCAGGAAACACATCTCAGGTGTAAAGACAAAGACAGGCTCAGAATGAAGGGATGGAAGATGATACTCCAAGCTAATGGCAAATAAAAGAAAGCAGGTGTTGCCACACTTAGACAAAGTAGACTTCAAGATAAAACTGGTAATGACAGACAAAGAGGGGCAATATATAATGATAAAAGGGACACTCTGCAAAGAAGACATAACACTTGTAAATATATATGCACCCAACACAGGAGCACCAAAGTACATAAAGCAACTATTAACAAACCTAAAAGGAGATATTAACAACCACACAATAACAGTAGGGGACCTTAACACCCCACTTACATCAATGGATAGATCATCCAGACAGAAAGTCAACAAGGAAATAGTGGATTTAAATGAAAAACTAGACCAAAGGGACTTAATAGATACATAGAGAACGCCTCATCCAAAGACAGCAGAATACACATTCTTCTTAAGCGCACATGGAGCATTCTCAAGGATAGACCATGTGTTGGGAAACAAGGCAAGCCTCAATAAATTTAAGACGACTGAAATCATATCAAGCATCTCTTCCGACCATAATGCTATGAAACTACAAATAAACTACAAGGAAAAAGTGAGGAAAGTGACAAAGATGTGGAGACTAAAAAACATGCTATTGAACAACCAATGGATCACTGAAGAAATTAAAGGAGAAATCAAAAAATATCTGGAGACAAATGAAAATGAAAATACACGATACCAACTCATATGGGATGCAGCAAAAGTGGTCCTGAGAGGGAAATTCATGGCAATACAAGCCCACCTTAAAAAACAAGAAAAATCTCAAATAAGTAATCTTAAACTATACCTAACAGAATTAGAAAAAGAAGAACAAACAGAGCCCCAAGTCAGCAGGAGGAGGGAAATAATAAAAATTAGAGCGTAATAAATGAAATTGACACACACAAAAAAACAGTAGAAAGGATCAATGAAACTAAGAGCTGTTTCTTTGAGAAGATAAACAAAATTGACAAACCCTTAGCCAGACTCACTAAGAAAAAAAGAGAGACGGCTCAAATAAATAAAATTACAAATGAAAGAGGAGAAATTACAACAGAGACCACAGAAATACAAAGGATTAGAAGAGAATACTATGAAAAACTATATGCCAACAAACTGGACAATCTAGAAGAAATGGATAAATTCTTAGACTCATACAACCTCCCAAAACTGAATCAAGAAGAAATAGAGAATCTGAATAGACCAATCACAAGTAAAGAGATTGAATCAGTAATCAAAAACCTCCCAAAAAA